GATCCGAACCCTCGGCGGGAGCACCGCTGCGCTTCCCAAGCGGCGCACTGTAGCAGTGTGCCACCAGGCCGGCCCAAAAACAAAATTGAGACTACATTATACATATCTGTAACTGGATGTCCACTTCCCATGCTCTTCCATGTACTTAATAGGCTCTATGGTACTTCACGTTGAGCACACTATACTTATTTAACAAGTTGCCCTTTGATGGGCATTTTGGTTGCCACCCTCTCTCCCCTCATTTATAATGAAGAGGTGCTGTAATAAACACCTCTTTAATCTTTGTGCCTGTTAGCATTTCCATCTGAGGGAGTTACAGAAGTAGAATTACTGCTGCACATGTAGGAATCAAAGTAGTCACAGAAATGTCTTCTTAACATCAGCACAAGAGTGAGTGCCCATCTCTCTACACCTCACCAGCTCTGGATCTTCCAAATTTGTGACAATCTGAGGCAAAACAGAGTATCGCACTGTTTTAATATGCATTTCTTTGATTATTACTGAGATTGTTTTTCACGTCTTACTGGTTATCTGCATTTCTTCTCTCCACGTATTGCCCATTCTGTCCTTTGTGCATGCTTGCTTGTATTCCTTTCCCTCACTGGAACTCTTCCAGGTGCTACTGCCTGACACTGTACCTGTACTGCTTTGTAATTTACAAAGCACTCTTCCTACCTGCCGTATCACTCCATCTAGTAGCCTGGAGAAATTCCCACCTACCCTCAGTTTTCCTGCTGGTGAGAGGTGGGGTCTGGACTGACAGCCAGATTTCCAGACCCTAAATCAAATGTTTTTTGATTTTTGCTACACCGTGGTTTGCAATGCCCATCCTCCAAAACCAGGAGTATTTGGGGAGGGCTCTGTTTTCCCAACATTTGTGCCACCAAAGCAAAGCTCATGAAATGGCCACAGTTTAAGTCCCCAAGGCTCTGCTGGAGCTTCCCCACTTGTCATGAGTTCGCGCGTGGCTTTACCATCAGGAAACAGTCGCTGAGCCTTGATCCCTGCGTGGGCATCTGGGGTGGGAGTGGACCAGGCTAGATTTTCAGCGTGGTGTGCAGGGCTCAGCCCCGCTGTCCTCGCCCCGCTGTGCTCGGCAGAGTTTGTGAAGCGGCTCCGGTACTGCGAGTACCTGGGGAAGTACTTCTGCGACTGCTGCCACTCGTACGCCGAGTCCTGCGTCCCTGCGCGGATCCTGATGATGTGGGACTTCAGGAAGTACTACGTCAGCAATTTCTCCAAGCAGCTGCTGGACGGCATATGGCACCAGCCTATTTTCAACTTGCTGAGCATCAGCCAAAGCCTCTATGCGAAAGCCAAAGAGCTGGCCAGAGTGAAGGTGAGCGGCTGCCTTCTCAGAGGCAGGAAGCCCGCGTGGCTGTCGGCAGTGTCCCGCGGCAGGAAATGCATGTCACCCTAGGTCAGGGCCTCCACAGACAGACCCCCTCGAGAGGCAGATGTACGCGAACTGAATGGAGCCTAAGCTTCCGGGCCTCTCACCTGTACGAGCTCTTTGCAAGGCTCCATACTGCATTTTGCATTTATAACAGCTTTGCGTGTTTCGTGAAGAAGTCCCCCAAGTGGTGTCAGCTTCAGCCTCCACAAAACCTGGATCCATCCGGGACCCTCTGTGGGTGAGTGGACTCAGTTGTGAACGCCTGCCATGTAGGCTGTTTGCTGTAAAAGCTTGTTTTATACAGGTGTAGCATGTCAAGGTTAGAAATATCATTTGAATTTGGCTTGCACATTACTGGTGTCATTTATCATATTTAACTTTCCCCCCCATTTGGTTTCTCACATTAGGAAGTCCAGGAGCAGCTTTTTCATATCAAGAAGCTGTTGAAGACCTGCAGGTTTGCTGACAGGTACTGTCCTTGCCTGGGACAGTCTGCTTCCCCCCGTCTCTTCTGCTCATCCTCTGAGTGCCACCGGGTCCCGGCTCCCCTACTACACATGAGTAATTTCCTCATGGCTGTCCTTGGGAATGCAGACCATCTCTTTTCAAAATCACTAGTGGTTTACTTAATTTGTTAAGAATGGACCAGTGCGAGCATGAAACAACTCTAGCCAGTAACCTTTTTATTATTAATAAATTGTGGTAGATGCATGTAACGTAACAGTTACCATCTTAACCATTTTAAGTGTACAGTTCAAAGGTATTAAGTACATTTACATTGTTGTGCAATCACCACCATCCTTCTCCAGAACTCTTTTCATTTTTCAAAACTGAGACTTTGTACCATTAAACACTAACTCTCCAACTCCCCCTTCCCCAGCCCTGGTGACCACCTTTCTACTTTCTGTCTCTATGAATTTGACTGTTCTACCTACCTCACATAAGTGGAATCATACAGTATTTGTCTTTTTGTGACTGGCTTATTTCACTTAGCATAATGTCCTTGAGGTCCATCCATGTAGTAGCACGTGTCACAATTTCCTTCCTTCTTAAGGCTAAGTAATATGCCATTATATGTATCCACCACATGTTTATCCATTTTTGGACCCTTGGGTTGCTTCCACCTCTTGGCTGTTATGAATAATGCTGCTATGATCGTTGGTACCCCAGTGGTCTTCTAAAAAATGTTTATAGAGAGGTCTGTCAAACCAGGTGATGCCATGGCCTCCAGAAATTCTATTTCTAGAAGTTTATCCTAAGGACATACCTATAGATATGAGCAAAGATTTAGTTAACATATTTTTTATAAGAAAAGATATTAAAAATCTACTAGGTGTTCAGTAATAGGATAATACTTAAAGTAATACCACATCATAGTATGAAATATTTTATAGCCAATAAAGATTTAGGCATGAATCCATTGAGAGACTTTTAAGTGGAAAAAGAGTAGGTTACTCAAGGAGGTTAAGATAATTTGTTATAATAGATGGGATCATAGATTTTTTAAAAATTTTGTTTTGTTTTAAAGGGTTTTTTTTTTCAGTTTTAGATGTTTACTTAATGGTGATGTATTGCTTTGAATTGCATTTCTTCAGAAGGAGCATGTATTCTATAGTTATTTGGCTTTGAGCCTATACCTCAAGGCATTGACAAGACAGGTTAATTCTTCTTAGGGCCTCAGTTTTCTCACCCATAACATGTAACAACACCCATACTTCCTACCTTCTACAAAAATTTTTTGAATATTGATTCTGTGCTTCAGATAAAAAAAAATCAGTAGATCTGTGTTAAGTCCAGGAGAAACATCAACACAAACAGATCATTGCCTAATGCATCAGACACATATGCAAGGTGACGTGAGGACATAGAGGAGGTGGCCTTTAGCTCAATTAGGAGCGGGGTGGGCTAGAGAGCAGGCATGGCTTCCTGGAGAAAAAGCCTGAGCCTGAAGAGTAAATTAAAGCATAGAAGAGGATATCCTCCGGACAGAAGATGCAGTGTGAGCGATCATCCCAGGCTGGGTGAGAATTAAAGCCTGCTTAGCATTAGTAGAGAACCAAGTCCAGCATAGGCCGTGGCTGGCTTGGGAATGCAGCGATTGGTGCTGCCATTAACTGATTTAGGAATTTGGCAGGAGACGAGGTGGGCTTGGAGAAGATTCAGTTAAGTTTTGAATGCTCTTGGGACTCCTATGTGACCTTGACTGCCAGCAGTTGCGTGCACGAGTCCTAAGCTCAGTGCTGGACTCATGGGGTTGGGAGTCACATGCCTGCCTGTGAGCAGTAATTCTCCCACAGGCTTAGACAATAGTTAGGGATAGTGTTGTACTTGGACTTTAGCTGGAATGAATAAGGTAGTAATTTTGATTACTGGGTAATCAAACAGTACTTGATACACATTTTTAAGACTTGATAAACAAATTTTCAGTTTTCTTTTGCTCAGTTCAT